GGGTAAAATAGATGTTGGTGGTGGAAAGGTAAAGAGTTTTAATTGGACAGAGGGTGTGACATAAGGACCTTTGGCTAAGGAGTAGGAAACTGTCAAGGAGCCGATTTCTGATGGTCAATGACGTGATTTATAAGTGCCGTCCGTCCGTCGCTTGTTGGGTCTGTCACAAGTGGGTCCCATCTGTCGCGTCTGGTACTAGTAAAATTCCTAATTTTGCATTACCTTTATAAGCTTAATTCGCTAGAACGGCGTTGAGGCATATCGAACCTCCGGAATTGCAGTCGCAGTATAAAATATAAAATAAACCGTTAGGTCTGTTAAAAGTGTAAGCCTTAATTATAAAATCATATTCTAAACACGCTCTCCGGGACGGAACAGAGACTACGGTGTGACTAGACCATCAGAGGTGTGAAAGAGGAGTAAAAGTACTTGAGACAGTCGCGTGCTCGAGAATGCACAGCCATGGTTTTGGGTAGACGTGGCTGAATGTGCTTAGGAGAATGAAAGCGATAGGATAATACAGAAAGACAACACGTGCGTATATACAAGTATACGAGGAAATGCGTCATCGTGGTTGGACGAAGTTGATGTAAGGGGTAGTCGAAAAGTAAAGATCGAAGAGTTGTTGAACATAACAAAAGTCGTCATTGTCGTAGAGTCTGTTGTGTCGTAGTCACAATCACAGTTTAATTATATATCACGATTTATAGTAATTACCAATTTATTCTACATTATATCACAGTTTATTTTGCATTATTATATTGTATTAGCAGTATATAGGCTGTCCCACATTTTTTCGTTAAACTGCGAGAAAATATTTTATGAACAAAAATAAGAAAAACATATAATATAGACAAAATATTTCGATTACTTTAATTATACAAAATGTTGATTTTGACGACATATTTAATCGAAATCATCGAAATAAGCGGGATCCAGCCTTTTCTAAATACTTACCAAGGCTTGTTCTAACTTAATATATTTGTCATAATCTGAATGAAATATTTAAGAACCAATGTTTACGTAATAGTATATTTTATTTTTCTTCATAAAACATGCTGGCATAGTTTAGTGGAAAAATCTAGGACACCCTTTATATATATCAATAACCATAATTATTGTGTACATAACTATCGATGACCAACGATTATATATTAATCATGTTTTTATTTAAATATATTCATTCATTTATTGCTTTTATTTACTTGCCACGTTCATTTCTCATTTATACAATTTATTTTCCAATTTATTAAAAATTCACGAACGTGGGTAAAATATTTGAAATTTAAGAAGTCATGTTACATAAACGAATATGTTTTCTAATTTTACATAAATACACTTATAAAAGCGAATTTTATGTATCATATTACTTCATAAAATAATATATGTATATAATTATATATTACATATATTAGGTTATATAAGCCTGTTAATATATCTTATATATCTTTACTCCGTGTAGAAACAAATTATCAAGAAATGTGATAAATTTTATAAGCTGCATAAAATATTTTCTTACCTTCTTCGTTGTTGTCGTCCTGCAACAACCATATCTCTTCCTCGTCAAAATGCACGTCTCCGCCTCGATCTCCGCCAGGAAAGAACGCGTGTGCTAAAATCTGGCCTCTACCATCGAACGGATATCCGTCACCATGATAACAACTAGAACAGAATTAAAAAGCAATTAATGGATGTCGAATTGAACCATTTAAAATTTAATTGGTCGAAACAATGAATAGTTTACTTTTGCACCAAGTTTCGTTATTTAAAACAGTTATTCCTTCGTTATATTACTTTTAAAAATATTATACATTAAACGCGAAGCGAATTTGGTTTAGTTTTCATTTAGAATAGGAAATGCACCTGTGTATAAATAAAGAAACGAATACAGAAATAGGGAAGAATTTGTAATACCTGTAAAGGAAAACTATCTTTGTTCCAAATATTTTAATAAAATCCAACACAAAAGTTTAGAAATACATTTTTAACCCTTTGTATTCTGAAACCGAATTTTAAAATTATAAATTTCGTTTCAGAAAGGAAAAAAATAAAAACATCTGTGAATCTCATTATAAAGTAGTTTTAGTTGCTTCTTTCGTCTTTATTTAAGAAAACAAAATGAAACAATAAATTGCATTGTACCACCAGTCGAGTGTAAAGATTATTATTTATATATATTTTAAATATTATTTATTAAATTCGTTATTTTTTATTTCTAGGCACAGATACCATCTAAATGCAAAGTTCAGAATTGATTTTCAAGATCAATTGTGAATATGTTAATGAATAAACAAATTTTATTAGCTTTTCATTTGTGACAAGAAAATTAATAAAAAATAAAATTGTTATGAAACAAAAGCTTCTTTCACTTTGTTGTGCATTTGCTGGTATAAGATTAGATAATGCATTGTATTAAGCGTATTTGCTAACCAATGCAGTCATAATCTCCAATGTTTAAGAAACTTAATCTTTCTGCCTAAACATTGCATATAAGATTATTAATATGTACAAAACATTCCTTTATTAGAACTGACAAGTAAGCTGTTGAAATTTCCTTGAAATTCTATAGTATAAGTTGAAGGTCTCGTTATACGCAATTCTTTTATCGCACATAAAAGATTCGATAGTATGAAACCATTGCTTCCTTTGTACTAAGCTATGAGATAATACAGAGATGAGAGGATTGCTGGAAGAAAGAATGCGGATTGAACCGAGTCGGGCACTTGTGAAATCGATTAACTCCGGAAAATAAAAATGTAAAAATTTATTTCAAATATCGAAAGTTAAACATCGATCGAATATTTTTGGCGCCAAAATTCCGAAAAATTGAAAAAGTAAATTAATTAATCACTTTGGCCTGTGAATGGCTTAATTTGTCACAATATAATTAAGGGATGTAATGTGTAATTATAGTGTGTAAATATACGATCCCAATTATCCTAAATATAGAATATTGCATGAATGTGAGATTACATATTGAACATAGGTTAGAAGATACTAGGTTCACGGTGCAGCAAGGTTCCTATACCGTTCTATGATACTAGCCTATTGCATCAATCAGTCTAATTTCGAGGAACCATCTAGCTTCTCAATTTTCCTCGAAGCAAAATAGATTCCGATGCATAGTGACGTCATAAAAAATAAAGATTTCTCTCACACCTGTATATTAAGATGATTAAGAATTCACGACGAATGTAAAAACCTTAAAAGGTTCCTCGCTTATACACAATAGATTTATCCGTAGATCACACAGATTATTCGTGGAACATCGGTGTCGTGCAGGCTAAGGTCCTCTGTACGAAATAAACTGCACAAATAGCCTAAAAATCGCCTGGACTACCCTTTACAGTCGCTTCATATTCTATTCGTTCCTCTCTAGTCAGAGTGATGTCCTTACGTCATCCTAAAGTGCTTGCCGTCGCGTAGCGATGTCACGTCTCCTAGTACGTAGGTCGATGTGACCTCACCCTTAACGGTTCGATTTGCAAGGTCACTAAATCTTTGGAACATATCTGAGATCTTCCCCACCTTTCATCTCTAAGGAAGTAACCGACATAACTATTCTGCCGGTCGGTGACAGACGACGGCCTTGACAGTCGTCGCCCAACGGCCTCCATCAATCACCGACGAACGAATCGCGATAACTCTGTGCTCGCGTAAATTCTCCATCCTTTCATAAAGGATCGAGAGCGAAAAACCTCAAAAGGGCGAAGCCTCCACGCGTGACAAATTAGTGGTTCTTAACCGTTTAAGTCCCAGAGGGTTTTGAAAAAACACTGTCGGCGAGTCCCAAGCAGCGCGACCGCGCTGCCTCTAAGTAGGTACGCGAAGACCCAAGCAACGCGACAGCGCTTCTATTTGATATCGATAAGTCCCAAGCGGCGCGATAGCGCTTCGTTTATATTATGGCGATAAATGGCCAAGTGGCGTGATAACGTTTCGACTTCGACAGTCGGTGACGCACCGTCCGTCAGCTGTCGAAAACGCTGGAAATATGCTGGGTCTTCTCGACATGAAATGTGAACAGCGTGATCGCGCTGCTTGGGACTCAAACGGTTAATGTAGTAACGCTGGGTTGAGTGTGAGTGCGAGGGAACCCTTGGGCCCGTCTAGCTGGCGACGGGCAATAGGCAGTGTTCTAGGGTTCAGCCTGAATGTTTAGCAGATGCCTGAAGTGCGCATGGAAGGACGAGTGACCGCATGCAAGGATCGAGTGAATGGGACTTATGGCTGTCTAGATTGCGAGCGAAGAACGAAAGGTGCCTGAGTGTTTAGGGTGCGTGGCCCACCTCGAGAGCGAGGCTATGGGAAATGCGTGTTTGAAGAAGAAAGCTTGAGAATGAACGAAGACAGAGTGCAAGGGCTGTCCGGGGACAGTTCTGCGGGCGAGTGTATAGAAGACGTGTGAAAGACGGTCCTGCGTGAGAGCATAGCGAAGTGTGAAGATAGTGTGAATATTTAGTCGATAGTCTATTAGCCTGTAACCTTAGTCTAGCCTCTTAGCTTGTAAATAAAGTATATACTGGAAATTAATAACACCTTTATTTCCGTGTTTGCCAATCGGAACACATATCCCTACATTAACACATTGCAGGCGGGAGACTGTGATCATAATCCGAAAAAGAACAAACGTTGAAAGCGGGAGACTGTAATCTCAGTTGCGTGATAGACTGTAATGAACTGCATTCTGTGACTTTGAAGGAACTTGCGCCTTACTTTATACTATTTTTTAATTTTATCAGTTTTGACTTGTGTTTTATTTTATTGCATTTTACCCATTTTGAAAATGGATTCACGCGATTTCGTAAATTATCAAATTGACTATTACGTGAAAAAGGTGGATCACGTTCAAAAACTTGCAAAACCGTGCCCGCATGCAAAGTGTTAATATTAGATAAACATAGGCTGCTAATAATTTTGGTTATATACGTGAATGAGGTGAGACTAAACAAAAGAAAGAATGCATGATTTGCCATCTTATTGCTATCTTGTGCCATTTTGTTACTTATTTTTACATTTTTGTATAGTACATATATATGTTAAGTTGATCAAATAAATAAATTTTCAACATGACGAAATTTTATTGTACACAAATTGGCAAATAGAATATTCTTTGTGAACAATCAAATGCTAAAAATCACGAGACACCCCTAACTGAGCTCTGTTTAATGTTAAATGTACTGTATATTTTTAACTGGATCTACAATCGACCATTTTTTAAAATTTCACTAAACTAATATAATTTTTCTATTAATAAAGAAAACCAATTTTGAGAATCGTTGCAAAAATCGTTGCGTAAATTATCTACTCGCCTTGTTCAGATACATAACTGATAAAATTTTAAGGTAAGTGTACCTACGTATACGTGATGAAATTTCAAAGCATATCTCGTAGAAGATTGATATCACTAAATTTTTTATAAACAAATTTGCAATTTTTAATTTATATTTTCAGATATATATATATGTAGAAACTTCATTTTATACTTTCGATTTACTTTTATACAAGAAAATCACATATTGTGCATTTACACAATACTTTGGTACAAATAAGTTTAAATTATATAATAAATTATTCAGAGAATTTATGAAATTTCATGGAATTCTTTTTCATACGATATTTATCGATTATTAAAATATATCATAATTCTATCGGTAAAATATTATGAAAATTTCCTAACTTATTATTACCAATATACGTAGCTCAATATTCTTATACAATTTTGTATGTATCAACAATAAAAAAAAATTGAACGACAATAAAATCGAAATAATTTGTACACTTTTTCATTTTACACGTATACCTGTTGCGCCATCTATGTCGCAGTTCGTCGCTCACGAATTTCGCGGCGTCGCAAATCCCTGTTACGCTTGTTTGCAACAAAGTAGCAGGGACGCTAACTTATGTAGAATTAATCACTTAAGCCTGGATGATAGCAGATGCACGTAAACACACTTAACGTGATTTCCAACGATAGATACAATTAAAACTTAACAAGTGACAGATATACGTGTACTACACACGTTGTTACATGACACGAGACTATTCGTTGTCTGCTGTGCATATATGATCCCCTTACACAATTATACTGTACATTATTCACAGCTCAGAAAGAATATATTACTTCTACGTGTTAAAATATATTAGACGATACAGTTGATATTACTATATCATTTTCGTGTTATTAAATATTAAATATGTCATGAAAGGGAGAACGTGTTAATCCTGTTTGACATTTTTGTTAGTGGTGGATGAAATATTAATAACAATAAGAACAATTCTTTATTTAATTACAAAAATGATCGAACACGAATATTAAGTTTAAATATAATTAATTTATCGCAATCACACGCTCACACCTCTTTTCACTATTAAAACTCAATTGCAACTGACCTATGCGAAATCACTCTAGTTTGGTTCTTTCTTCTATCATACATTACACGACATACACAATTCACACAACACTTCAATCATTACACGCATACTCATTTATCAGAATAACCTGAATTCATTACATATTGGCATCCCATACATAATTGTCCCAGTCATCATCTTACAGACATCGCTCCTTTATTATATCAACACATATATATTTAAAAATCTATGTAACCATTACCACCTAATGAATATTAAATTTTAATATTAAATTTTTACTTT